GCTATCAGTGTAATCCGTGCTCTACTATGTAGACCGCAGGATTCCCAACGTGACAGTCCGTGGATCAATGATACTGAGGTTCTTGGTATCATTTTCGATTCAGATCGCCTGATTAATTGTCTGCAGCTGTAGGTGCATCGAAATAATTGTGATAGGCCAGCACCAAATCCTTTCCACATCCACTTTAATTCTTTCCTTTGGATTGGGCTTTAAATGGATGTTGAATGCACGCAGATATGTGTCAATGTTGACTACGGATTTTGGCAGTGATGACGTTGATGTTGATGATGATAACGATGACGATGATGCTGGTGGTTCTCCTGAACGCCTTCGTCTCAATATATCTGTCGAAATGAATCAATATGCCACTGGGCTCTATGCTGTCAGTTTCTATCCAGATTGTCTGACTAGGTCTCGGATGTGTAGGTATCTCGGTTGTATGCTGTATGCTAGCCCAAGTTTTTTCTTCCTGTTCTATTATTCTCTCTTTTTCCAATACAAAAAAGCGTACACTTGATGAACTATGCGTGGAGGTGAAAAAGAGTACAGTGTTTAGTCACATGATGAAATGCGGTGAAATGGTGGGTCACAAAACGCCACGGAGAGATTGATTTGGGTCACTTGTGAAATGTCAAACTGTTATGAAAATTAGTGTATTTTTTGAGTGGAAAGTTGTAATTTGTTAATTGCAATTGGTGAAGGTCAACGTTGAAAACACCTGATTGGGAACTTCAGGTCCCATAGACGAATTTCAGCAAGGTTGCCAGTCCAGGCATCTAGATATCCAAGCCTAGCCAGTGTCATTTTTCGGACAACCAAGCAATGACTTTGGGTTCCTTGTGATTCATACTTTTCTGTGCTACACAGAAAAGCCGAAATTTTATGAATGGTTTACAAGTAACTGAGAGGAAGAATAGATTTACACGATGACTGAAACTTCCATCTGGATAGTTGACACTCGACGAGCCGGTCAGTATGTGGCCACGTGATGTGGTTTTCCGTGATTGAACGATGACTGACTTGA